CATGACTAATATTTCTATATATTTGACATACTAATGTTAAATTATAGATCTTTCTCAAAATTATATTCATTTTGATGAATTCTCTAATTAATAGCTAATAATATACTACTTAAAAAGAATAAGATCAGTTATTAGGAAATTATAATATATAATTAAAATTAATATCTAAAAAGAATCAATTCATTTATAATTTATAAAATCATATGCTAAAATTAGAAACATAACTATAATGACTTGAGAGTAGTTAACAATTAATCTTAATTTCTAATATTGATTTGTTTTTTTAATTTTAAAAATAATTCATATTTAATTAACTTCATATTAACCTTAATTTTGTTATCAAAATAATTTTGATCATATTTTTGAAATAAATATACACTTTAAATCAATATTAGTTAACTTGGACTTTTAGCTAATAGTTTTTCTATCTAAATAATAATTTATAATGTTTAATTCTTTGGTTTCACACATTCAATAGTATATGATAAATTATGAGAATATAATTCAAATATGGTTTATATGATAATTAAAATATAAAAATTCATCATCCAAAAAAAATCTTCATACACAATAAATATATCAGTTTGGAAACCTATGACTTTTTCAAGTATTTAAGTATTCTAATAATTATTCCTCATCAAATGTAGTTTATGACCATTTATTTACTTTGTCAACTTAAGCTTCCGTATAATATTTCTAAGATTGATTTTCTATATGTTTTATATTAATTTTTCTATGAATATTAAACTTTTTTGAGACCTAAATAGCAAGTTTTTTACTGCTCATTAAAGCATATTATTATTAAAGAGGTTCCTTTTCGATGGGATTAAATGATAGACCTACTGCTCCAATACCTTAAAATTTATTGATAATTTAAGGTTATGAAGGTCTTTAAGATAAACAATTATCTAATTTTAATGGTTTTTATTATGATCTCTTTTATGCAGGCGAAAGATAAATAGGAGGTAAAGATTTAACTATAAGTGGTTTTTGCAAAACTTAAGACAACGAAATGGGCTTGTATTTTCTTTAAAATAGAATGCTTTGTTTATTCCTTTCTGAGAAAAACATTAAAAAGAAATAAATAATATTTATAAATTTATAATAATGTTTTCTAATTGGTATTATCTATCTTATAAATATGAAGTTATTCTTCATCAATATCAAATTAAGATAATCTCATTTTTTTTGAATAATCCTAATGAAGCTAGTTTTAGAGTTACTTTCATTAATACTTAAATTTCAATTTTTAACTATTTGAAAAGAAGCACGATAATTTTATTTAATATAGGAGAACCATGATAGTTATAAGAAAGATAGTTTAAATTTAAGTTTTTGTTTTTATTTAAAAAGCATATGAAATTAGAAGATAGTATATTCTATTTGTTTGTTTTATAAGAGTAAATGAATTATAAATCTTTTTATAAGATTAAAAGGAATATTTCTTATTCAATTAATCACAAATCATTTTTATCAGTATATTCATAAGAAAAATGTCAAAAAAATAATAAATATATAATAAATAAATTAAAAAAGTTACCTAGTAGTTTAAGGAAAAATTATATATTAATAATCCATTTTTATTTACTAAGTTGTTTTGTCAATAATTTTCTTTATTACCATTAATTAAATATTTGTGAGAATTGATTAGTTATTAACCTAAATAATTTTAATTTTTATAAAAGGTTATCGATTATACGAAAAATTACAAAAATTCAAGACCCTTAACTCCAATCGGCAGGTACTTATAACCAAATAATATGGTCAAATGTCTTTATTTCATTAAATTATTCTGATGACTTAATATTGCTCAAACAGAGCATTTCTTGAAATCTAGTCATTTATCAGATCATCTAACCTTAAAATCAAAAATAATTTATAATAATTATGCTAAATTCTAATTAAATTTTGAGTTATTAGAAATTTAAATTAATCATTTTTGGTAGCATTAATATTCTATTATTTAAAAAATAATAATTTTATTTATAAAAAGAAGAATGATATGATATCTTAGAATCTTGTTACTGTAATTAAAATTTAGAAAATATGGAATAAAATATCATATCACTTAAAAAAAATAATATTAAACTCAAATGTTTAAAAATATAATAAGTTAAGCTCGAAAAAGAAAACTTGTAGAAAAAATTAATATTTATTTTTTTAGCTTAAATGAATAAAAAAATTGTTTATAAACAATATGTGAGAATTTGAAATAAAAAATGTCTTGAAACGGAAGATATATTGATAGTCTTAGAATATATATAATAAATTATGTAATGATTATATTGTTTTTTAAATGATAATTCATTCATCAATCCAAAATTAAAATTTAGTTTATAATCCTGTTACCCATTTAATAGCAATTCCTTTAAATCCTTATAAAAATAAAACTTTAGTTGATTTTGTTGAATCTCTTCCCATTGGTAATTTAAGTTAATATTCTGGTTGTTGAATAACGTCATTAGATAATAAAACAATATTATCTTATTCATCCTAAATGAATATAAGAAATAAATATACTTCTGAAGCATTTTCTTCTAAAAATGTTGCTTTGAATGAACCATCATTTAATTCTAATATAACCTTTTTTCCATATTCTGAAATTTAAATATTAAATCTGTTGATAACTTTACTTTTAAATATATAATAGAAAATACCTTATTTCTTATTGACCACTTCTATCATCTATTTATTATCTTTTTATATTTGGTTTATTTATTATCACTTAATTTGCTTATTTTTATAATTATTCACTAATATTTGGTTTATTAAATTATTATAATGGAGCAATTTATACATTTGTAGGACCTGTTTTAGATGGAAATTAAGGTTATTATTAATTTAATACAGGTTATGGTTAATTTTACATTTATTGTTGTTATTAAAATGGTGATGATGGTTATTAAGTAGAAATAAAAGATGGTGTAGGCTATGCAACGGGTATAAAGGGTGATTGTGGTTAAGGTGCCATAATTGGACCAGATTAACCAATTTAATTAGGAAATTGATTAGCTTATTATTTATCCTAAAATATTTAATAATATTAATTACTAAGCATTAAATAGTTTCATTTCCTTAAATGAATTAATTTAACTTTGTGTTTTTAAGGATATTTAATTTTATTTAACCATCTATTTTCCAAACTTTATCTTAAAATTTACCAGAATTAACATTTTCATCAAAAAGATCACCAAATGTTTCAGTTAGTTTACAAGTAACTTATTTTCCATTGATGTTTAAGGTGACACTCATATGATTAATAAATTTAATTAATATATATGTATTTCTATTAAAATTTCTTTTGTTTTTATATTAGAATTTATTATACTATTAAATAATATTTATATTTCTTTCTTTTTAAGATTATTTATTAAATTATTCAACTTTTATATTATTATCATTCTTAAAATTATTATCTTATTTTATTTCATTTATATCTAAATGTACAATTCTTTTTCTATAATCAAGTGCCATTAAACGATACATTCATTATGAGAAATACTTTCTTCTTCTACGTCAATCACATTTGGTCATTCAATTTTATAATGTAAAATGTTTTTTAAGATTTTTTCAACATAATCATCGTTAAAAGGAGGAATTCCACAAAGCATTTCATACATTATAACTCATAGACTCCNATAAATTATGTAATGATTATATTGTTTTTTAAATGATAATTCATTCATCAATCCAAAATTAAAATTTAGTTTATAATCCTGTTACCCATTTAATAGCAATTCCTTTAAATCCTTATAAAAATAAAACTTTAGTTGATTTTGTTGAATCTCTTCCCATTGGTAATTTAAGTTAATATTCTGGTTGTTGAATAACGTCATTAGATAATAAAACAATATTATCTTATTCATCCTAAATGAATATAAGAAATAAATATACTTCTGAAGCATTTTCTTCTAAAAATGTTGCTTTGAATGAACCATCATTTAATTCTAATATAACCTTTTTTCCATATTCTGAAATTTAAATATTAAATCTGTTGATAACTTTACTTTTAAATATATAATAGAAAATACCTTATTTCTTATTGACCACTTCTATCATCTATTTATTATCTTTTTATATTTGGTTTATTTATTATCACTTAATTTGCTTATTTTTATAATTATTCACTAATATTTGGTTTATTAAATTATTATAATGGAGCAATTTATACATTTGTAGGACCTGTTTTAGATGGAAATTAAGGTTATTATTAATTTAATACAGGTTATGGTTAATTTTACATTTATTGTTGTTATTAAAATGGTGATGATGGTTATTAAGTAGAAATAAAAGATGGTGTAGGCTATGCAACGGGTATAAAGGGTGATTGTGGTTAAGGTGCCATAATTGGACCAGATTAACCAATTTAATTAGGAAATTGATTAGCTTATTATTTATCCTAAAATATTTAATAATATTAATTACTAAGCATTAAATAGTTTCATTTCCTTAAATGAATTAATTTAACTTTGTGTTTTTAAGGATATTTAATTTTATTTAACCATCTATTTTCCAAACTTTATCTTAAAATTTACCAGAATTAACATTTTCATCAAAAAGATCACCAAATGTTTCAGTTAGTTTACAAGTAACTTATTTTCCATTGATGTTTAAGGTGACACTCATATGATTAATAAATTTAATTAATATATATGTATTTCTATTAAAATTTCTTTTGTTTTTATATTAGAATTTATTATACTATTAAATAATATTTATATTTCTTTCTTTTTAAGATTATTTATTAAATTATTCAACTTTTATATTATTATCATTCTTAAAATTATTATCTTATTTTATTTCATTTATATCTAAATGTACAATTCTTTTTCTATAATCAAGTGCCATTAAACGATACATTCATTATGAGAAATACTTTCTTCTTCTACGTCAATCACATTTGGTCATTCAATTTTATAATGTAAAATGTTTTTTAAGATTTTTTCAACATAATCATCGTTAAAAGGAGGAATTCCACAAAGCATTTCATACATTATAACTCATAGACTCCAATAGTCTAAACTACTATTTGTTAAAGATTCTCCTTTTAAAACTTCTGGAGCTATTTAATCTGGAGTTCCTACAATCCTTTTATTTTTACTGCTTTCATTTTATGTACTTAATTTAATCACTTATTATGCTTGAGTTAGCTTTAAATCGAAAATTATATTGAATTTAGGAGCGTTATGATCAGCAAATTCTGGTATTGTGATCCTAAATGATAATAAATATTAATATTTTACGATTCTATNATATTATCTTATTCATCCTAAATGAATATAAGAAATAAATATACTTCTGAAGCATTTTCTTCTAAAAATGTTGCTTTGAATGAACCATCATTTAATTCTAATATAACCTTTTTTCCATATTCTGAAATTTAAATATTAAATCTGTTGATAACTTTACTTTTAAATATATAATACAAAATACCTTATTTCTTATTGACCACTTCTATCATCTATTTATTATCTTTTTATATTTGGTTTATTTATTATCACTTAATTTGCTTATTTTTATAATTATTCACTAATATTTGGTTTATTAAATTATTATAATGGAGCAATTTATACATTTGTAGGACCTGTTTTAGATGGAAATTAAGGTTATTATTAATTTAATACAGGTTATGGTTAATTTTACATTTATTGTTGTTATTAAAATGGTGATGATGGTTATTAAGTAGAAATAAAAGATGGTGTAGGCTATGCAACGGGTATAAAGGGTGATTGTGGTTAAGGTGCCATAATTGGACCAGATTAACCAATTTAATTAGGAAATTGATTAGCTTATTATTTATCCTAAAATATTTAATAATATTAATTACTAAGCATTAAATAGTTTCATTTCCTTAAATGAATTAATTTAACTTTGTGTTTTTAAGGATATTTAATTTTATTTAACCATCTATTTTCCAAACTTTATCTTAAAATTTACCAGAATTAACATTTTCATCAAAAAGATCACCAAATGTTTCAGTTAGTTTACAAGTAACTTATTTTCCATTGATGTTTAAGGTGACACTCATATGATTAATAAATTTAATTAATATATATGTATTTCTATTAAAATTTCTTTTGTTTTTATATTAGAATTTATTATACTATTAAATAATATTTATATTTCTTTCTTTTTAAGATTATTTATTAAATTATTCAACTTTTATATTATTATCATTCTTAAAATTATTATCTTATTTTATTTCATTTATATCTAAATGTACAATTCTTTTTCTATAATCAAGTGCCATTAAACGATACATTCATTATGAGAAATACTTTCTTCTTCTACGTCAATCACATTTGGTCATTCAATTTTATAATGTAAAATGTTTTTTAAGATTTTTTCAACATAATCATCGTTAAAAGGAGGAATTCCACAAAGCATTTCATACATTATAACTCATAGACTCCAATAGTCTAAACTACTATTTGTTAAAGATTCTCCTTTTAAAACTTCTGGAGCTATTTAATCTGGAGTTCCTACAATCCTTTTATTTTTACTGCTTTCATTTTATGTACTTAATTTAATCACTTATTATGCTTGAGTTAGCTTTAAATCGAAAATTATATTGAATTTAGGAGCGTTATGATCAGCAAATTCTGGTATTGTGATCCTAAATGATAATAAATATTAATATTTTACGATTCTATAGCTTCTATTATAGAATCCAACTTCTGGGAGTCCAAAATCAGCCAATTCAGCATGTCCTTATTTATCCAATAAAATATTATCAGGTTTTAAATCTCTATGTACAATTTTTCTTAGATCTTAGATACTCAAGGGCTAAAACTATTTCAGCAATTTAGTGCCTTACATATTCTTCATCTAAAGCCTTTAAATATATATTTAAGTTACCGTATACATCTTTAAAATATGAGAAAAATCTCCTCCTATTATGTACTCTTGGACAAAACACAAATATTATTCATGACTAAAAGAAAAATAAGCTTTCACAACAAATTCTCCTGAGAGTATTTCTAAACTATTTCTTTCAGCTTTCAATGTGTCTAATTTTGTTTCCAATTACTAATTAATATTAAATTCATCTGCAAACTTTTTAAGCCCAAACTATAATTTTCATCGCATACAAATCTCCTGATGTTTTCTTTTCACCAAAAATACTCATCCAAAAGCTCCTTGTCCCAATAGCTTGATAAATTGAAAATATTTTAACCCTATTTCTTATGTTTATGTTTTCTTTTCTGCCTTTATACTTACAAATCCAGAATCTGAATTATAACTTCTATCAACTGTTATCACTTCGAAATCAAACAATTGCTTAAAGTATTATGCTAATACAGCAACACTTTATCTCATGTTGTTTTTACGTATAATATTTTTAGAATTTTCAGGATGGAAAATGCTTTTTTAAGTTTTTGAACTACTCTATCAAAATCTGCTTTGTGATTAATTTCATCTTACTACACAATTTCTAAATTATTACTAGAAGATTAACTACTAGGACTTAGTTCATTATTATCCTTTTTTGGTAGTGAAGCTGTCAATTGAGATCCCGCTATTATTTATTCAGATTATTTGAAACATAAATCTATTTCTAAAGGTCTTGAAATTTCTGATTATAATGGATATATAGGTAGTTTTCGACTCCCTTTCATCATCATATTCATCATAATATTTCTTCCACTGTTCTTCATACTATTGTATTAAGAATTTTTCATTTCTTAATTTGAATTCTAATTAAAATTAGATGTTGAGTTTTTAGCCTAAAAATGATTTGTTTTCTTAATTGGACTCACATTAATAAATCTTTTCTAAAGAATTTATGATATTTTGATATTTGTCTATTTGAATTTCTTCAATAGAATCTCTTTATCTATCAAGATCAATTGAAAGTACTTATTCCTCATTTCTGATCAGAAGTTCTTAATCAGAATCACATTAAACTATATCAGCAAATGAACAAATTTTTTAATTATCGGGAGATTTATTCTTATCTGATGAAACCATGTGTCTCAAAGGAGTTTAATCAGAAGATTCAATAACCAAATCTTCTATATTACATTTTGCATCGGTCAATTTATTAAATGTGATACGATATACTATTATTTAAATTTAATATTATGTTGATTATCCTCATTATTAGTATTGCTATTAAGTACTTTTTCAGCGTAATTCACAATAAATGTCATTACTGAATAAATTAAAGCTAATTGTTTTTTTGTTTTATTTTTTTCTTCCTCTTCCTAAAATATTTTGTTATCTTCTATATGGATTGTATGTGTTCATCTTAATGATCTAAATGATTTTTTTTCTTCCTCCTGCTTTTTTTATTTAAAAGATTTTGCTTTTATTCTTCAAAACTTAGTCTTCCTAATTTCAATTAAACATCATATTTTAATTTATATGCTAATTATGAAGCATCGGTTAGCTATAGATTTAGTTATAATAATTTCTTGCTTTATTCCGCCTTTCTCTAACACGTTATACAATGGGCTACTATTATTTCTACTTCTATTAATTATTCGCAAATTCTACACACAATCTTACTATACTTTTCTAAATATTATTCTTTTAATTTACTATGTAATATTCTATTTTAATTAATAATTGATTATTTTGATATACGTTTTGGTTTCAACGAATATTCGCTTACTTTTTAAGCAGTACTTTAATCAGGTTTATGTTAGTCCAACCAAAATAAGAATGATTAGGCATTTGCTATTCAAATAATTGTAAGTATTCTTTTCTAGATTCTATAATATTTTATATCATGCTTTACTTTTAGAATTGATTTGCTATTTTTTAATTTCTGGAACTTCCTTTCTTAAAGCTTTTCAAATAATCTAAGTTCGTCTATTTTTTTAATGTTTCCATATTTGCTATTACATATCCTAATTCATCCTGTTTAAATGAATTTAAAGTTGTAACTAATATCTTAAGTAATTCATTTAAATAAGCTAATGAAGGTGCACCAAACTATTATGATAAATCAAGCAATACTTAACCAAATATCAATAGCTCAACTATAAATATTATTTAATCTATTATGAGTTCAATATCTATTTTGTTCAACATTATGCATTTTAAACAATAAACTTATTTTACAATATAATTCAATTTTGGCTTGAACATCGTCAATTCCATTTTTGTAGGTATTACCTGCAAAGAGAGGAATTATATTTTATTCATTAATTTAAAATGTATAAATCCAAACGAACCCAATTTGGAGGATCAACTGCCAGTACCTTGGATCTGTTACAGACATAGGATTGTCTCTTTTGTCAATAATCTTAGAAATTTTGCTGTCTGATTACAAGAGCTCTTTACATCAAATATTCAGCAAGCCAGAACTATTACTATCAAAAGGATATTAATATAATACTATTGCAATAACGATCTAAACAATATACTACTTATAAAGAATGGACTTATTATGATACTAATGAATATTTAAAACGATTTTACTCCTTAACTGATACAAGACAAAAAACTATTGTATTAACTGAATATTATAAAGTAATTACTTTCAAAACTATACTGAATAGTTTCACCGAGATATTCCACGTCTTTTTATGTTGCCTATAGCTTTAACATTATCTAAATATCATGATAAACGACGACGAATAGAATATATCAGAATATCTAGGATGCTAGGAGGACATGTTGAATAGCCAACCCCAACATAAAATTCTATCTAAACAGTATAAAATGAATAATTACATAAACTTAGTCATTGCAGAATCTTTTGGGCTAGTTGAATTTTACAAAGTAAGAATAATCTAATACATTAATCGAAATATAAAAAAATTTAAAAGAAGCCATAAATACATCCAAAAACATTCAAAAGGAATTTGATTCTCGTAAATATAATCTACCTCTATAACTAAAAAATTCTGATTATTACAATAAATCAAAATTAGATCATAAATCTGATACGAATTCAAGATTAGACTTTAAAGAAAACTTTAATGATCTATTTTAAAAAAAAAAACCTTTAAAAAATTCTGGTATTTAAACCTAAAGAGAAGTTTCATAACCTAAAGTATATAGCACTGAAAAAAACTGCAAATTTTAGGTTCAATAGATTCCCCTCACTTAAAGGAATGGCAATAATACAAAATAATCAATTTCTCCTAGACCAACAACTCAAAGATCAATAAAACCATAAATTATGTAATTATTAAAGCCTAACCATAATAATAATAATAAATTAAAGGCTACCAATATAATCTTAGAATGTTTAATGAGAAAATTAAATTTAGATCAAAAGGCTATCACAAAATAAAAATCCAAATCTCCTAATAATCCTTCTAATCAATAAGTAAAAAGAAAGAGAAGAGTAATGAGCACAAATTAAGAAACAACAAAAATAGATCTGAGTTAACTTAAATAAAAATAATCTTAAATACTTTAGAGTAAATTTGATTAAAATATTATTAATAAAGGATATAAAACAGGAAGAGCCTCAGCAATGGCTTGATTAATTTAGTTATATATTTATTTATTACTATTAAAATTCAAATAAAAATAAAAAATTGCTCTATAAGTAACAAAGTTACCACTAACTCATATTATTAATAGTAGTGAAAGATGAATAAAGATTATAAAGTAAATAAATTGATTTTGCAATTTCATAATATAGTAATAATACACAATATTTAAATCATTAGAACAATGCAGAGACCTTAATCATAGTCAAATTTAAATCAGAGAGATTTTATTTTTTATTGCTACTCACCTATTTTACTAATCATTTGGCAAACTCTAAGTATTGAGACATAAGACACTGGATATTTTCAAAAAGGGAAGCCATAGTCTATTTTTAGATTATCAAACATGGTATAATAAGCCATACTTATTCAGAGTCTAATTATGGAAAGGATCATTTAAAAAATTTATACATTATATGAATAATAGATAAAAGAAAATTACTAATATAAATATTGAATTAGATTTGATATTACTATATGAAAAATTTATGTAATCTTTTATATATTAATAATAAAATATAAAAGGTTACATAAATAAACAGTAAATGAATAATTTTAGTGAAAAAAGTAAGGAAGCTGTAGTTAAATTGGATTATCGTTCATTGTAAATAATGACTAAATGTGGAATTATATTTTAATATTTAAAAGTAAGGGAGATAAAATCTAGCAAAAACTATTTATATATAAACAATATCAAAACCAGTCTTTCTTAACAAATAGAATTCATTTTCATAGAAAAAGATATATTAATCATATATTATTTGATTAAAATGCATAGGAAAAAAGTATTTATGAATATTTAAGAAATAAAGCTTTTAAATAATTTAGTATTTTGATTTAATTATTCCAAAAATAATTATAAGGGGAAAAAGAGTCAAAAATAATGTTTAATAAGAAATATAAATTACAATAAAGGCGAGCAATACTTAAATGAAAATAAAATTGTAAATAATTGTAATTATTGTACAAAGATACTCCAAAAGTAAACTAAAAGTAAGGATAAATGCAAGATGATTGCTATGCATTACTACAATCTTTTTGGAATTGATAAAAATTAATTTAATTAAAAGGAGGATAATTATGAAATAGGTTTTGATTCATTTAAATTTATGCTCAAAATAAAGATTAAAAAATCCAAAAAATTTTAGGGACTTGATTATAGAAAAAGAATTGTACATTTAGATATAAATGAAATAAAATAAGATAATAATTTTAATGAATTTGATTTGAATAAGAGAATGATAATAATATAAAAGTTGAATAATTTAATAAATAATCTTAAAAACAAAGAAATATAAATATTATTTAATAGTATAATAAATTCTAATATAAAACAAAAGAAATTTTAATAGAAATACATATATATTAATTAAATTTATTAATCATATGAGTGTCAACTTAAACATCAATGGAAAATAAGTTAATTGTAAACCAACTGAAACATTTGGTGATCTTTTTGATGAACATGTTAATTCTGGTAAATTTTAAGATAAAGTTTGGAAAATAAATGGTTAAATAAAATCTAATATCCTTAAAAACACAAAGTTAAATTAATTCATTTAAGGAAATGAAACTATTTAATGCTTAGTAATTAATATTATTAAATATTTTAGGATAAATAATAAGCTAATCAATTTCCTAATTAAATTGGTTAATCTGGTCCAATTATGGCACCTTAACCACAATCACCCTTTATACCCGTTGCATAGCCTACACCATCTTTTATTTCTACTTAATAACCATCATCACCATTTTAATAACAACAATAAATGTAAAATTAACCATAACCTGTATTAAATTAATAATAACCTTAATTTCCATCTAAAACAGGTCCTACAAATGTATAAATTGCTCCATTATAATAATTTAATAAACCAAATATTAGTGAATAATTATAAAAATAAGCAAATTAAGTGATAATAAATAAACCAAATATAAAAAGATAATAAATAGATGATAGAAGTGGTCAATAAGAAATAAGGTATTTTNATCTCAATTGACAGCTTCACTACCAAAAAAGGATAATAATGAACTAAGTCCTAGTAGTTAATCTTCTAGTAATAATTTAGAAATTGTGTAGTAAGATGAAATTAATCACAAAGCAGATTTTGATAGAGTAGTTCAAAAACTTAAAAAAGCATTTTCCATCCTGAAAATTCTAAAAATATTATACGTAAAAACAACATGAGATAAAGTGTTGCTGTATTAGCATAATACTTTAAGCAATTGTTTGATTTCGAAGTGATAACAGTTGATAGAAGTTATAATTCAGATTCTGGATTTGTAAGTATAAAGGCAGAAAAGAAAACATAAACATAAGAAATAGGGTTAAAATATTTTCAATTTATCAAGCTATTGGGACAAGGAGCTTTTGGATGAGTATTTTTGGTGAAAAGAAAACATCAGGAGATTTGTATGCGATGAAAATTATAGTTTGGGCTTAAAAAGTTTGCAGATGAATTTAATATTAATTAGTAATTGGAAACAAAATTAGACACATTGAAAGCTGAAAGAAATAGTTTAGAAATACTCTCAGGAGAATTTGTTGTGAAAGCTTATTTTTCTTTTAGTCATGAATAATATTTGTGTTTTGTCCAAGAGTACATAATAGGAGGAGATTTTTCTCATATTTTAAAGATGTATACGGTAACTTAAATATATATTTAAAGGCTTTAGATGAAGAATATGTAAGGCACTAAATTGCTGAAATAGTTTTAGCCCTTGAGTATCTAAGATCTAAGAAAAATTGTACATAGAGATTTAAAACCTGATAATATTTTATTGGATAAATAAGGACATGCTGAATTGGCTGATTTTGGACTCCCAGAAGTTGGATTCTATAATAGAAGCTATAGAATCGTAAAATATTAATATTTATTATCATTTAGGATCACAATACCAGAATTTGCTGATCATAACGCTCCTAAATTCAATATAATTTTCGATTTAAAGCTAACTCAAGCATAATAAGTGATTAAATTAAGTACATAAAATGAAAGCAGTAAAAATAAAAGGATTGTAGGAACTCCAGATTAAATAGCTCCAGAAGTTTTAAAAGGAGAATCTTTAACAAATAGTAGTTTAGACTATTGGAGTCTATGAGTTATAATGTATGAAATGCTTTGTGGAATTCCTCCTTTTAACGATGATTATGTTGAAAAAATCTTAAAAAACATTTTACATTATAAAATTGAATGACCAAATGTGATTGACGTAGAAGAAGAAAGTATTTCTCATAATGAATGTATCGTTTAATGGCACTTGATTATAGAAAAAGAATTGTACATTTAGATATAAATGAAATAAAATAAGATAATAATTTTAAGAATGATAATAATATAAAAGTTGAATAATTTAATAAATAATCTTAAAAAGAAAGAAATATAAATATTATTTAATAGTATAATAAATTCTAATATAAAAACAAAAGAAATTTTAATAGAAATACATATATATTAATTAAATTTATTAATCATATGAGTGTCACCTTAAACATCAATGGAAAATAAGTTACTTGTAAACTAACTGAAACATTTGGTGATCTTTTTGATGAAAATGTTAATTCTGGTAAATTTTAAGATAAAGTTTGGAAAATAGATGGTTAAATAAAATTAAATATCCTTAAAAACACAAAGTTAAATTAATTCATTTAAGGAAATGAAACTATTTAATGCTTAGTAATTAATATTATTAAATATTTTAGGATAAATAATAAGCTAATCAATTTCCTAATTAAATTGGTTAATCTGGTCCAATTATGGCACCTTAACCACAATCACCCTTTATACCCGTTGCATAGCCTACACCATCTTTTATTTCTACTTAATAACCATCATCACCATTTTAATAACAACAATAAATGTAAAATTAACCATAACCTGTATTAAATTAATAATAACCTTAATTTCCATCTAAAACAGGTCCTACAAATGTATAAATTGCTCCATTATAATAATTTAATAAACCAAATATTAGTGAATAATTATAAAAATAAGCAAATTAAGTGATAATAAATAAACCAAATATAAAAAGATAATAAATAGATGATAGAAGTGGTCAATAAGAAATAAGGTATTTTGTATTATATATTTAAAAGTAAAGTTATCAACAGATTTAATATTTAAATTTCAGAATATGGAAAAAAGGTTATATTAGAATTAAATGATGGTTCATTCAAAGCAACATTTTTAGAAGAAAATGCTTCAGAAGTATATTTATTTCTTATATTCATTTAGGATGAATAAGATAATATTGTTTTATTATCTAATGACGTTATTCAACAACCAGAATATTAACTTAAATTACCAATGGGAAGAGATTCAACAAAATCAACTAAAGTTTTATTTTTATAAGGATTTAAAGGAATTGCTATTAAATGGGTAACAGGATTATAAACTAAATTTTAATTTTGGATTGATGAATGAATTATCATTTAAAAAACAATATAATCATTACATAATTTATCATATATATTCTAAGATTATAGTTTTATTAAAATTGGTAAAAGATATTTTTCACTTTTTTATATAAAATAAAGAATATCTCGATGTGTAGTAATATTGATATCAAAAATAGGCAAAGTTTGAAAAGTAAACACAATTTTAAGTTTAGGATTTTTATGACATGTAATTCCTATTTTTACATGTATTTTCAATTAATAATGAGGATTGTGTTGAGCTTAATGGTTTTCAAAATTAAGCATTTAGAATCACAAATTTCATTATTTTTGTCATTAATTAATCTGTTTTTTTTTAGGAAAAATAACTTCAAAAATGAAAAATATTTATTTAATACTATAAGTAACTAATAATTATTTTTTTTAAATGAAATAATAATATCAATATATGAGATATTCATTAAAGGATGATTTTTATATAGCTTAATAAGAAAATAAAAATAAATTATAGAATATGAAAAATAGAGTAGAAACCATAAAAACCATTGCCTCAATTTAAAACAGTATCACCAATTTGTTATAGATAAAAACGATGATTATGGGAAAAAGTTAATAAAAAAAGATAAAGAATTTAATACTTGAGAACAAAATTATAATTATCAGGAAAACTAAAAAATAAGTAATACATTAGTAAGGAGAAAATATTTTAATTCATGCAGTGATTAATATTATTACAAATTATAAAATTATTTGTGTGTGTTTTTAATTAGAAACTATATAAAAAGTAGAAGACTATACAGAAGAGGAGATGAGGAATATGTTGGCAATTTTACAAGAAAGGAAGTAAAAGAAATTAGAAGTTTCATGAATATTAAATTGGTGAATTAAATTATAAAGCAAGACAATTTTAAATTCATATTCCTGATTGCTTTTTGAATTATTTAATAGGGATTAAGTACTTGGGACAATGTTATTTTTAATAATTTTTTATAATAAAAAAACTTGTCAATCAAATAAGGCCATGTTTAAATTAGTATTCAATTCTAAATCTATGAAGGAAAATAAAATTAAGTATAAAATAAAATGTTGATAAAATTTCTGTATTATAGGAATACGATTTTTTTTTAAATTGCACTTAAAATATTAAATTAAATAAATGTTATTATTAATTGTGAGCGTGGCTGGAATTATTTTAAATAATGTCCTTGCATTGCATTAATAATAAGCAGGAGTTCATGATTGGAATATAAAACTATTTGGCGAACTAAAAAATATTTAAGTTTAGGATTAAACTATATTTTTCTAAAACACAAACAATTAAAATGGAATTATTGAAAAATCTACAGGTTTTATATACTCCTTATGATTTAGGCTAAGTTAAGTAAAGAAATACTTTAACCCTGTGTGATTCTTATAATTACGTCAGATATGAACCAAATCAATAGATTATACAATTATATAATGAAGGATATTCAGTTTTAGCAGAAGAGGAAATTATTGGCAATATAGACCATTGTTTAATAGGATTAAATGGAGAATTTATTCTTATTTATGGATAAACTATTTTTTCTACTTTTAATAAAAAATTCACAGAAAAGTATTGATAAATTAGATTTCTTTAGGTTTGATCATTAAATTATACATGCAGGATATATTTTCGATGTTCCAGTGGTTGTTTTGCAGAAATAAACTGAAATATGCATCTATTAAATTAGAGAATCTATATAATAAAATTATTGTGTATAAAGTTTGAATAATGGTAAAATTTATTAATTTGGCAATACTCTTGTTTATTAAGATGATTAATTTGTTTATCATCTAAAAGAGAAATCAGCCAAATCTATAGATAAAGAATTTATTAATAAAGTTGATAAATTTATTGGATTAACATAAACTTTAGTAATTAGTGAAAACTCAAAGAAAAAGATAGTTAATTTAGATGGGTAAATTGAATATGAATTAAATCAAGATGAGTATGTGATATAAAATTTAGAGACTCAAAAATATTATTATAGTTTAAAATAAAAGGAAAATGAGTTATTTATTGTAACTTTTGATAGGGATACAAAATAAATCCATACTGATATAATAGAAATATAAACAAAGTCATCAATATTAAATGCTTTTTTGATAGATTAAAATAAAAAATAATTTTTAATTTAGTATTAAGATTTACAAACTGTTTTAGTTGATAATAAAGGTATTAGATGGACAACTGAATAATCTTTAATTAGTATAGATGCTGTATTTTATGAAAAATATGAAAATGAAGAATAGACTCATAAAAATTCATATTATGAATCACTCGAGAAACATGGTACTAATAATCCTTTGTTTTTGGTTTAAAATATTATTTCAAGGATTTTGAATGAGATTAGAGATTTACAAGAGGTAGCAACTCATTTTATAGATAATTTGGGTAAAGAGAAGATTTAAACAAGAGAAATGGAATAAACATATGGATTGAAATAGAAAGTATACTTTTTGACAACATATGGAACATTATTATGTTATGACACTTAAGAATTATCATTATTAATAAAATTATAGATTAATAATTAAGATAAAACATTTAAATTAGTTGCACATCATTAAATAGAGTAATATATTAATATTTAAATTAGTTCGAATCTAATCAGACATTTTGATAATAATGATGCATAGCCAACTCATGTATTGTTTTATTATTCAAATGAGAAAAAACGATTAAATACTTTTGTTTTAGATTTATAACATGGAATGATTTAATAAGTTGCATCACAATCTTCAAATAATATATTATGGACAATACCTTACAGAGTAGAAGGAGGACCTGGTTAACATCATAACATAGTTATTCTAATCGATGAAGAAAATAATATATTTACATATCCTAAACATGATTCATTGAATACAAAAGAAATAATTTTATATAGAAATGATAATGGTGTATTAAGAGGATATAAATTATTAAATAATTAGTTAGTAAATATATGGACAATTAATATGAAAGATGAAATTTTGATTATTAGATCAGCTTATCATGTAGGAGAAGAAAATCCAAGAGTAGCCATTTGGGATGATAAAAAAGTTATATTTAAATTAATTGATCAATCTAATTTTGCAGTTTTAACATCAGATGGTGATAAACTTAAATTATTTATTATTAATGCAAAGACAGGAAAAATAATATATTAAAGTGTTTAAAGTGAAGCTGATTTTAATTAACCAATTAATCTAGTTTTTGATGAACATTAAGTTTTTGTTACTTATTATAACAAATCTTAAATGATGTTTGAAATTTGGACTGTTGAAATCTATCATGCAAAAATTGAAGTTTCATTTATTAAAATGTTAGAAAACTATTACTTTACAAAAACACCAATTATTATAAATTATTATAAGGCTGATTTTGAAGCATTCTTTTTATAATAAGTTTATGGATGTCCTTTGGGAATCAAATATCTAGGAATGTCTAGAACACTTAAATCATTAACTAAAAAGAATTTATTAATTATTACAACTTCAGGATAATTGCATTCTTTAGACAGAAACTTAGTTTCCACTAGAAGAAGAGAAAAGGCAGATTAGCCTATTTTAGAATATTCTCTGTAATCAGCAGAACTTCCACCTTATTAATATTAATTACCTATCAATTTTTTAAACATGTTAACATATCACTAAACTGTATTTTATTTATTTATTTTAGTTTGAAATTTAAAAATTTTCAATAGAGTCTACAAATTTAGAATCCTCAGCATTACTATTAGTATATGGTTCTGATATTTTCTTTACTAGAATAGCACCTGATAAAGTATATTTTAAATATTTATATTTAAGACATATGATATGTTATTGGATAATTTCAACTATAATGCCCTTATAGCAACAACAATCTTGATAATAATTGCAACAAAAGTATTATCAAGATTGGTTAAATCAAGTAAATAGGTTAAATAATTTTATCTAAATTGAAATAATGTATAATATTTTCATAAGTAAATTTATATTAAAGTAATCATTCATTGTATAATTAATTCCTTTTCAAAAAAAGATTATATAAATACTTAAAAGTATGAAATAAATAATAAAAGCTGAGATTAACCTAATGATGGTTTAATGAGCATTTCAAACTTTAATTATTTTAATTTAAATTATAATGGGCAGAAAAAAGATTTCAATAACTAAAATAGAAGATAGACAATAAAGAAATGTATTTTCTTAAATATAGATTAGATTACATTTCATAAAAGGAAGATAGGTTTACTAAAGAAGGCCTATGAATTAGCTTCTTTGTGTGGTGTTTAAATTTATATGGTTTTCAATGATCTATGTAAGAAATAGGCTATTCTTTATTATCTTAGAGGGAAATGCCATACATTTTAGAACCGATGAATTAAATTAAATTGAAAATACTGATAAAAAGAAGTATTTATTGACTCCAAAAGATGTAAAATTTTTATTTCTACATCAGTACCCAAAATTTGTTACTCGATCAAAGAATAAAGTGAATGCTTAGCTTAAAGATTTGCCAATAACACCTTTAAAATTAGTCACAGATCTAATGATAAATGATGAGCCATTAATTTCTCGTTATTCAGTTCTTAGTAGACAATTTTTCCCAATTCCTCAGCCCAAAACTAATAAACCTATAATTGATATTAACACATGAATAATAACTAATTAATTTGAATTATAATAATGATTAGAACATAATGTGAATGTGATGAGAATCTAAAAAATAAAACTTTGGAAACTGTTCTAATCTATAGTATTGATAAAGCTTCTTTATGAAATAAAATAATTAGATCATTAGAGGAATAATTATTAATAATAATGTAAAATAGACATTGAAGATTAATAATGATTGTTTACTAATCTTGGCTAATTTAAAATCTAATAATTTTTAGATTAATGTTGTGGACCAAATAAAATATCATAGAAAGTTTGATTTTCAATCAGCCTTTTAAAGATTACTTAAATGTTAATGTAGAATAATAATTTCAGATTTTAAATGTATCAATAAATTGTTAATTTACTAAATTTAAGATCATAGTTGATTCATGCATGATGCTTTTAAAAAGTTAATCATAATTTCATGTTATTGAAAGAATTCATTTTTGCCATTTAATAGATGGTTAAGGTAAAATGGAGAAAATCTACATCTACTTTTGAATTAATCTTTTTATGTGAAGAAAATCAGATTAAAGAACTTAAATTAAAGGAGATAGATTTGCATATGATTAATAATACAAATGCTATCAATTTTTATTGTGCAATTACCAAAAACAAAGGTTAAAAAAAAATATGACATAGGATTCTCAAGAGAAGTAATTAGAATTTTAATAAATTGTGGTTAAATAAATCTAATGATTTAAATAAAATACTGTTTTAAACAACCCAACATTTATTTTAATTCAATTGAGAATAACAAATTCAAAATATTTTATTAATTCAAATCAAAGATAGCATACTACTAATTTGTTTGTAATAAAAATGGTGTTTCTATATTGTGCTTTGGTATAAAAGGAGTTGCATACTTAGAATTCGGGTTTTTTATCATGATGTATAGAAAAGTTTGAAGGGTTTTAATTAATTATGAATTTTGAGTAGCCAAGAGAGTTATTGTGTTCAGTGAGTACGTTTAGCTAATGAGATGTGTATATAAACAAAAAAATTATAGATTTAATGCTTGAGTTATTAGAAATAGATAAATAAACATTTTAATTGAGTATATTAATGGAAATTGAGTATTATGAACCTTCCTTCAGTCATTTATTTTTGATAGCAATATTAGTTGGTCTTTTAGGTTTTTGTGGTTTAGGTTGTTGGATGGAAATGAAAAAGTGCCATACAATTAATAAAACAGATTGAAAATTATTTTATTTACCATATACAAAATATATTTCATCCTATTAGAATACTTTGTTTAACAATATCCTTACAAACATAAACTCATTCTATAATTCAATCCCAATGCCTAATTCTATAATAGCATAAGTAAAATATTAGTCGTAAATTTTCATTCATCCATGTTTAAATAGAATAAAACTATCTAAATCAATATCATTTTAAAATCAAAGCAAAATCAATATATTGTAAATTATTAATAGTCTGGAGAATTGATGGATTTAATAATTGAGGGAAAACTCATACTTTAAAAATATATTTCAAAATGTTTAATATAAATAGAATAACTCTCAATCTGTATCTTAATGATTGTAAACCACTTGCATCAATAATTCAACAATTAAAACTTTAACCTATTAAAATTAAAAGATAATTAGAAATTAAATTATCAAAAGATCAATACACTTTTTGTAAATCTCTTACTAAAGGATAATAAACATGGATTTTTTAGTTATGGTAAGAAGAGACAATACATAAAATTGCATTAAATTAATATACTCTTTTGAGAAAGATGATAATAAAAAATTAGATTTAGGAGAATATTAAATAAAAATTTAAGAATATAGTCTGTGAAACAAATTACTTTTGAAGAACAGCTTTGCTAGCCATAACATGCAAACAAAATACTAACCTAAAGGAATAAATAAGGAGAATTATTATAAATATTAAATATTAGAATGTTATTGGTTATTAATTCATAATTAATGCTTAAATACAAAAAAGAAATCTTATATTCTACAAAGTTCTAAAAATTAGTTATTCTGGGTAGAGATTTCTTTTTTTTTTGGGTACTTATAGAATTTGATTTAATAGCAAACAATTTTAAACAACTGAAATAGTAAAATATAATATAGTTTATAACAATTTTTACATAAGATTTAAAAACGATATAACCATAATCATTTTCTTTTCCATTTATGACTCATTTTTTAGATTATCTTTCTTACATTATTAATGGATGATTAGTAAACGCAGTTGTACTTCTATTTGACAAGAAATAGTAAGGGCATTTTGAATCTTTATTTTATGATTGATATATAAATAAAGAACTTATATTTTCTAATTATTGATTGTAAAATATCATTTACTTAAATTATCAGAATATTAAATTAATGCAAATTTCTCTTTATTCAGTTCATTTCTATTTATTCTTTTATAGAAATAAATAAATAATCCTGAATAATGGATTTTTTTAAACTTTTTCTTAAGTAATAATTATGTTCTTAAATTTTCTTTGTGTTTTATTATTTTAATGGTTTCTGCTGATAGAATTAAATGCAAAGTTAATTTTATTGGTTTTAATATATTTTCAATTTATAATATTAAATTAATGAGTAGATAAAATTCTTAAGAAAGATTTCTAAAGTCGGCAAATTCCTGTCGAAATTAAGGAAGATAGTTAAATATTATTGATTTTATAATGAAATAAAACTTTTAGGATTAAGGTCCTTAAACAATAGAATTTTAAGAAGAAATGAATGTATAAAAATCATGTGAGATGTGTTTATAATTGTAAGAGGAATTGAAAAAATTTGTGAACGTTGATAAATTTTAATAGGTGATTGAAAAGATGTGGCAAAAGATTAAAAAAATAGAAGAGGACAATCAAAAGGTATTGTTAAAAATAGAGAATCTAGAAAAAGTTCTTATAGATTAATAAGGTTTTTTAGATGAATTGAATGATCAATAATATAAGTCATAATAACAATAAGATTAATCATCAATTTTATAATAAGTGACTTTAGATAAAGGTTAACTTGAGAAATTGGAGAAGAAAATTTAAAAAGATAATTTAGCAGGTATTAAGAGTATTGAAGATAATTTATATAAGATTTTAAATAAAGAGATTTAATAAAAATTTATGGTTATGTAAGAAAAACTAGAAGAGATTAGTCAATAATTTGGAGGAGTAAATGAATAGATTGAACTTTTTAATCATAAACATGGTGTGACTAAAGAAGAATGTGAAGAGAGAATTAATTAAATAGCTTTAATAGTTAATGAGAATAATCAATTTTTAAGATCCAATAATCATGGTGTAGCTGAAATGTAATAACATGTAATAATTATATATTTTTACAAAGTATAGTGATTTGGATGCAGATATGATGAGAATATTTTAACATATTAAGGCATTATTATAGAATGATTACAAAATAACAGAGATGGAATAGAACATAACTAATTTGAAGTCTTAATTAGTTTAATTGAGAAATGCTGTTAATGAAATTGGTGATTTTGTTTCAAAAATATGAAAAATATATAATCACTTTAATTTCAATAAATCATCGATGAAGGTGTTATCATTCACTCTAAATAAGCCTAATTACTTAGATTAACCTTGAAAAAAAGTGCTATTCATAGATAATCTTAATAAATAAATCCTTTGCCCTCAATCTAAAACAAACCAAAAAAAATGAAATTAGAAACAAGATAATAATCTGAAACTTCAATTGCTCCTAAAAAATAAGAAAAGAAAATATAAAGATAAATGAGTAATGTTGATAAAGGCAACTTTTTATATTTCTTATATGCTTAAAAAAATGGTTAGGTAGAGTTATAATTAATTTAGAAAAATGAGAAATAGTTTGCTGAGTTCCTTAGAAAAACATATAACTTTGAGCCACCTTAAAAGAATGAAGGACCAAGTAAGAAAGGTCTTCTTTATCTTTCTAAAAGAGAAGAAAATGAAGATCATATTAAAAAATTAACAAATTCTGTATTATCACCTGGAAACAAAAGTATAATAGGAAATAAGGAAGTACCTCTTGATTAAGTTGTAAGTCAAATGTTTGAAAAGTAACTTGAACGATTCCCAAAAGTTAAGTAGAAGATTGAAAGAACTCAATGACTTTATGAAAATAAATGATAAAATACAAGAATTCATTCAATTTATTTGTTATTCTCTATTTATTGAATAATTTTTTAATTCTTCTCTGTTACTTCCTAAATTTATAAGAATATCATACTCTAATTTAGGATCTCAGAGATTTAAGTCGTTTATCAAAACCAAATTATTCATCTTCCAAATCTGCTCTTTCTTACATATATTAAAATAACTCTTGATTAAGATTCTCTAACATATTTTTGTATGATATTTGTAAATAGCTTGAAATCTCAGTTTATGTAAAGAATAATTTTATTTAATTCTTAGCCTATTGTAATTATCTCAACTATTCAATTTTGCCTTGTTTTTCTCCCTTTAATTCTTATCTTTGAGATTCTAAATCAAATAATTGTTATTCACCCAATTCTTACATATATTCTCTAAGATAAGGATCAACCATAGGTCTTTCTTCTTAGTATTCTATTTATTAATATCAATCTAATACACTTTAATTAGATTTGCTATATTTTGCATACAATATCTTCTAATTCTTTTCTTAATGTTTTATGTTCATCTTCCTTCTACTTTAATACTTACAACAATTCCTATTGATATTGTTTTTCCTTATTCACAATAACTTCCACATCCTCCAATCCATCATCTGAAGGTGTTAATTCAAATTATTCTCCATCAGCTTCATCATACATTAATTGTTAATTATTTTTTTTTTAAATGTCTTGGATTAACCAAAACTAGGTTACTATCAATAAACCTAATAATTTGCTTGGGTTATTTAGTTAATCCAGAGATTCCTTACATCATGACCCTAGTGAATAATTTACAAAACTTCCACCCCATCTATATACTAAACATAAAGGAAAGAAACCTTCTTAAATTCTTTATGATGAGGTTTATTTACATTACTATAACATATTAGATATATAAGGAAATTATTGAAACTCCAAATATAAATAGATTTGTATAACCTCCTCCATAATATGAATTGAAAGATTAGAATTTCAAATGTTGGTAATGTCAAAAACCAATTTCAAATGGATTTTTAACTATAGGTGCTAATTGTGATTAATGTTTCTTTCATGGTCGTTATTTTTGTAATGATTGCATGTCAGTAGTTAGAATGCCAATTCCATGGAAAGCGTTAGATAGTTTTGATTTAAGACATTATAAGGTTTCTAAACTTGCTTAATCTGAAATAGATAAATTATATGATTTACCAATTTTAGAAATAACACCAACATCTAAGTTATTACAGCTTAATAAAACTCTTTTTGAATTTCTAGTTCTAAAAAGATAGATTCATTTATTATATGACATGATTTGTGATCCTAAATTAGTTCAAACATTATTAGAAAAAAGAATGAACCTTTGTTTAAAAAGAAATTGTTTTAGTTTAAAAGATTTATATGAAATTTATAATGGAAGTCTGACTAAAGTTATTTAAGGATATTATGTTATTTTATATAAGCATATTGATCTTTGTAAGAGTTGTCAAAAGAGAGGTCATATTTGTAATATATGTTAACATATGGTACCAATCCATGCTTTTGATATAAAGAATGTCACTTATTGTGATACTTGTTTAAAGGTTTATCATAGAGAATGTGCTGAATAAAAATCATGTCCTAATTGTTTGCAATATAGATGATTTAATATTTATTGGTTAGAACATTACTAATTATTTTATTTATTATTCTATATTGAAATTCAAATCAATAAATATATTTTCAGAATTCTTTGTTTAGGCATTTACAATTATCATCTCCTTTTTCAACCATTTGAACATTATCTGTATTTTCATTGTTTTCAATTAAAGAATTACTTCTTTGAATACCTGAATGTGATTTACAATTTTATTATTAACAAAGTGGATTTTATAAAATTTTACTACCAATCCATCCACCTTCAACAACTTGTTAATAAGTAATTTAGAATCTACAGGAAGGACAATTAAGTATTCTCATTAACCATTTCTTTAAACATTAATAGTGAAATATATGACCACAAGGGGTTATACTAATTTCTTTTTGATTTAAATCCTCCATACAAACTACACATTAAGTATTCTAATTATATTGAGGATTTATTTATATGAAATCTTCATAATCATAAATTTCAAAATATTTGTTAAAAAATGAACCTGAGAAATTTTTAGGATCCTCTATTTTTGGAGGTCTAATCTTTATTTTTCTCTTTTTTTTCACTGTAATCTCTTTTTATCTACATAGATTTGTAATTCCAAAACAAAGTATTATAATTATTATATTAAAAGAGGCAAAAGCTAAAAACAAACAATTACCACTCCATATTGAGGCAGTTTGCTCTTGTTTAAGTGTTACATTTATTATTTAATCTTTACGACTATACAATCCTATTATCAATGTTTTAGCATCCTTAAATTATAATTTTAAATTTTGAATCAATTTTGTTAAACTTAATTGACTATGGAGTATGGCAGTATATGATGTTTAATCAGGAATCTCGAAACCTTTTTTTCCTTGAACACCAAAACTAGCAGCTATAAAAATTGATTTATTTTATACTAATAGGATCAATGACATCATCTGCAATTAATATAGCTTCTTATTCCAATTAAAATGATAAATACACAGCTTTATGGGGAATTAAATGAATCTTATAATTTACATCTTATTCTATATTTATTATTTCAAACTGACAATATGATCCAAAATATCCAGATTCGCATTCACATTTTTTATTACACTTAGATCTTTGTTTGATACTATTAATCAGAAATCCTTAACAATTGTTAATGCATATAGAATGAGGTTTTGAATAAACTTATATTTTTAATTTAAAAGGCCCAAATCTATCTTTAGCATAATAATATATGTTCTCCATATATTTTAATTCAACCATATGGGTAGAATAATGGGTTTAAATTGATTCATAATCAAAAAAAACAACCTTTTTACTTTCAATAAATATTGGCTTTACCGTTGTATTAAAGTCAGAGTCTTAAATTTCCTCTTAAGACACTAGTGCAATAGGGTAAGTTGCAGTATCAAAATAAAATACTATTAATAAGTTTTCATCATTCTTTTCTACATTAATTATTCCTGAAATTTTATTATTTACATCAAGTTCAAGTGTTTTAAGTAATTTTTATGCACTTACTACAATACTGTAGAGAAGTAAAATTTATATCATAATAATAAAAATCTGAAATAATAAAATATAAAAAATTTCTCTAGCACATGTAAATATAGCTTTTATGATTAATTAATAAAAAAGTATTTTAAAAATCAAACCATAATTTACAATTATAAACTATAGATTTCTACTTCAAAAATAAATCATTAATAAAATTTACTTTCATTCAATTGAAACAAGAATATTTAGTTTTATAATTATATTTAACATATTTATTCTAGCTTATGACATATTAATTGAAATCAGACTAACTTGAAATAGCTTTAATAATAAATGAATATGTTTTACTTTCTAATAGAGCAATTATAAGCCAAGATCTACTTTTAAATGAGAAGAAATTTATGGTTGAATCTGAAAATTATGATTAGTATCTAATATGTATTCTATTCATAACTAAAATTATTTGAAAAAAGTCTATATTTTTTAAGAAATTTATTAAGAATTTGGTTTAATAACATAGGGAATGAGTAGGTGAACAGAGTAATATAATAATCTCTTAATTGAATATATTAATTTTCAGATAGAAGTAATAAGTTAATAATTTTAACAATAGTAAAACTCAGATGAAATTCTAAAAATTGCTTATGAAATTGACAAAAAAATAAAAATTTATATAATTAATATTGTATGAATTTTATTACCATCTATATTTTTAATTAAATAAAATAGAAATTTTGGAATGAATAACTTGTTTTGATATGTTTTTGATAAGTTAATCTTACATAGTTAAAGTAAAAAATATTCTACTTAAATAAAATCGATTCCCTTAAAGAGATCTCTATATCTAAAGCGAAATTTGTTTAAAATATAGTTAAAATTTATTGAATAAATAATATTACACATTGATTTGTAAATGTATTTGTGCTTTTTATATATATTCATTTATAAAATTATGCTATTCATTTTTTAAATTGACTCTATTATTATCTTTTTTTTCTTCTATACATTTATTTATTATGTCTAAGGTAAAAGTCAATATCAGTCTTATTTTACGAAATAAATTGGGAACACCATTAGAAATTGCCAAAAAATTTTGCTGCAATTCTTCGAGCAATTTTAGAGTGAAAAAGTCTTTGAAAGTGAATTCTATTGTAGTTTTGACTTTCCATATTTATAAACTAGATAATAAATGGGTCCTCTTTAACCTAAGGTTAGTCAAAACTATTAATAATGAATGATGATAATTTTTTCCCTATATTCTTATAATAATTCTTTGTTTCACCAGGCCAGATGTATAGACTGAATTTTACAATGTTTTTCTTACAATCTTTATCAATAGATTTAGATTCATATTCTTTTTTAATAGATTCTGAATCATACTCTTCTTTAACTTCTTATTTTACATCTTCTTACTCTTTCTAATTTAACATTTAATCATAAGCCTAGAGGTAAGTTGGTTGAATAAGGCCTAAATAGATTCCAAAAGGGTAGTAAATTAATCCCTAAAATGGAATCAATGAATTTGATTATTTAGAATTCCCTTTCATATTTTATTTCAGTATCTAAAAAGTCATGTTAGTGAAAATCTAATCTAGATATAATATAACAATCTAAGTTTAGATTCCTTAAAGTAAGATTATATTATAATCTTCATTCTCATTTTAGTAACACTACAATGATGTATCAAATAAGCTAGAGTATAAAATAATTGTTCTATTAGTGATTATCTTAGAGAATAAGCTTTTCAGTGTCTTAAAATTCACTATTTTCATCTAGATCACATGAACAAATATCTAGCTAATCAAATGAAGAGTCAATTTAATTTCTAAAGTTCATAAAATCTAAATGATTGGATATTTTTACTTTAAATTGAATCTGTTAACTGATATACATTAAATATATGGCTTAACCTTAAGTTTGCTCTTGTCTATACATCATAAATATACTATTTAAATTGAAATAACAATTAATTAAGTCAAACTAATTCTTATTTAATTCTAATCATAAAATATTAGCAGGAATAGTAAATTGGACCATTATTAAGATTTACTAGAGATAGAAATTTGCTAAATTTTGAAAATTGGCTTATAAAGATTGGAAAATAAAGAAAATATCAAGTAGAATTAATATTTAATCTACTTGATTTATTTTAATTCTATTCTCACAGGTATTATTAATAATTAAGAATTTTTAATTAATACAAAATTTTTACAAGTGAAGTTTGATTCTTTTCAATAAAGACTAGAATAATGAGATATCCCAAATATATTTTCATATTATATTTACTTATTAATGTTTTCAAATAATAATAAGTTAAATAACATTTTTAGAATGGGTATTAGTTATATAAATTCTTATATGATTATTGTCTAATCGTTGTTTAATATATTAACATTTTTGCTTAAATTCATTAAAAATGTTAATTAATTATATAAAATACTTATGGATTTTTTAAATTGTTAAAACACTTAATGTCCTGAAAAGTATATCTGCTTAAATGAAGAATGTTATTTAGCAGAAAGAAAACAAATTTAATGTTATTAGTGTCTTACTAAATATCATTTAAATAAAAACAAAGTAGTTAAACATATGGATGATTTCATTGAGATAGAATAGTTTATTAATGAAATAAAAAAGAAACAAATTAGAAGGACTACTTTCATTTAGATGATTATATAATAGGCATAAGACTTTTCAAAAAACAAAATTTAAGAAGTATAATTAAGTAGAAATGCTGATTTAATTAAAAATGCCACTGAAAAAATAGAAGGAGAAACTGCTAAATTTCTTAAATTTCTGAGTTCTACATATTTAGAGTAAAAATTCACATTTCCATATCAAAATTCATTCCATGCTTAATATGTTAAGTTTTATTTCGAAAATGAAAATTAATATTAAGAAGATTCAAATTAAAAATTAGCTACACTATTCTCATCAATTGATAAATATATGCAAGCTCTTGATTTAGACATTAGAAATATTATAAAAAGGTTTAAATTAGTTTTATAATTAATTTAGGTCATAATAGAAATTAGAAGTCCTTGAAAAAAAAGTCACTCAATTTAGTAAATAATCTCTTTATAACAAGTTATTATTATTAATTTTAATCTTATTATTTCCATATTTATTCTATTTGTAAATGAATTAATTTGAATTAATCAAATTTTATAAACAATAAGAATTTAATGCTTAAAAATAAGATTATTTAATATAGGATCTCTTAACTTTGAAGGATAAATTTAATATACTGTAATAATAGCATCAATATTTACTAATAAATTAAACTGAGGATATATCTGTATTAAATTAGACAGTAATACAAGGAATAGACAGTGTTTCAAAATTAAAGCTTCGATTTGATACTTTTAAATAAAGTTCTACTTTAAATTTAGAGAAAAACAAGATTTACTTTGAAACCCGTTTAGAAGCCATATAAAATAATCTCACCTATTTTCTTAATTCAGAAGTTCTTCTAAAAAGTTAAATTTAAAATATATCATCAATGCTTGATTTTAAAACTATTAAGGGTTAAGAGAATAAATCTGAATTTGAATAATAAAAGAAAGTAAAACTTGAATAATTGAAAAGACTAAAAGAGACAGTACATTAAATGAAGTAAGAAAATGTGATGAGAAAGATAATTTAATTAAAAAATTATATATATTCACTTTTGAATTTTAGACCTTTGATCAAAATTCATAAAAATTTACCAAAATAAACACTCAAAAATTTTGAATTAATATATGACGAGTTATTTAATAAACCCATATTAATTTATACAATGGCTTAAATATAATAAAAAGTTTTTAAATATGCTGGTGACAACCCTTTACTATGTTTGGGAGGATTAAATTTGATGAATGTAGATGCCATTGATTTAATAGCATGTGACTTTGCAAATGATATGTTGTAACCAACTTTTGATTCAAAAAAGGCTATTAAAAGTACTCATGGAGATATCTATTGGTATTAAGTTTAAGAATCATCATTTGGATTTGCACCAAATGAAAATATCTAATTATTACTTTGTGATGATTATGATGAAGAAAGTGAGTATAGATTAAGTTATTGGTATGATTTAAAAACTTTATCTGGAGGGCGTCGATTAGGCAAAGAATTATATCTAGAAAATTCAACTAAACATAGATTATAGATATATTTATTAAATCCTCCATTTTAATGATATATAATATGAATATTTTAAAATAATGTTACTGTAAATATTGTTTCATTAATTTGGTCTAATCAATATCTTTCTTGAAGTTTAATTTACTTTATAATATTCTATTCCTTCAACAATTTTTTCAAGTGGATATTAATTAGCATATTCTGTCTTTAATGTAGTTTTGAGTAATTCATTTAACTTCTTTTATGCATTGACATCAGCAAATGGATTATATTTGTGTACTGAAGTTGCAAGCCAAAATCCCTTTACAGTTTTACTCTTAAAAAGTAAATCATTTGCAGTGACATCACTAATAGGTTATCCTGATAACAATCCATAAACAAGAGCTGTTGATTTATTTGGTAATTAAGTGAGTATCTATCCTGTCAAACTTCCCCCAATAGCATCAAAAAAGACAGTGGCACTAAAATATTAAAAATAAATATTACTTCAATTATGTAGCTAAGGCATTTAGATCTTGGAAAAAGGTTTCTGATGTTTGATTTAACACATATTTGGCACCTTCTTATTTAAGAAGATCAGCCTATTCTTGTCTACGTACAACATTAATGACGTCGATTCCAGAATCTTAGAAATATCTAACTAACATTCTTCCTAAGGCTGAACCAGCAGCAGTATGAACTATAGCCTTAGCTCCTAATTCCTATGTTTCTACTAACATGAGTAGAACAGTAACAGGGTTTACTATGGATGATGCTCCTAGTTCAAAGGAAATATCATCATCAAGGGGAATTACACTCTAACTAGTTGTGACAGCATATTGGGCATAGCTACCATAGTTAGAGGAAGCAGTGAATGCAACTTTAGTACCCAATTTAACATTATCTACATTTGGTCTAATAGATACTTAATATAAATACCCTAATTAGACTACAATTCCTGAACCCTCAATTCCTGGGACAGCAGGTAATACTTTGCCTGCTGGATAATGTCCTGCAATTAATAATAGATCTGATGGATTGACTGGGGCTGCTTCAACCTTTATTAAAAGTTGTCCATCCTTTAACTATGGAGTTTCTATTTCAACAATTTAAAGATCTTTTCCGTATTCAACTAATTAGGCTGCCTTAAAGGTTTTTGGTATTGTGAATTGTTCCATTTAATTAATGTTAATTTTTTTGGAATTCTTGAATTTAAATAATTAAGAAAAATTCTGAATTCCAAAAATTTGATTTAATACATCATAATAAAATTCATACAATTGGATATTCATAATCAATATTCATTTGAAATTTTAATTTAATATTATACTATAAATAAATTTATAAATACATATTTTTATGTTAGAATAAATAGAATTCTTATATTTGATTGATTATAATATTTTAATATTGTATTTTTATAATAGAAATTAATATACAATATCTCACATAATGCTGATTGGAAAATAAATTGGAGATTATAAGCTTCTTGAAGAATTAGGTAGAGGATCATTTGGCTGTGTAATTTTATGAATTAATAAAAAATACAATAGGTATATAAATGTTAGAATATGTATGATTAATCCTATCATGCTATAAAAATTATTCAATTTGAATCACTTAAAAATAGTGAAGGGATAGTTGGGGAATTACTAAAAGATGAGATTAGTGTATTGGCTAAAATAGACTCTCCTAATGTATTAAAATTAGAACATTATTTTTAATCAAGCACTAATTGTTATATTTTAATGGAATATTGTAATGGTAATTTAAATAAACATCATATCTTTTAGCAGGGGATTTGGAAAAATATTGGGAAAAATAGGGTAGAAGAATAAAAGAATAGAATGTTATAGATATGATTATATAAATATTAAATGGATTATATGAATTACATAAACATAATGTGATTCATAGAGATATCAAATTGGCAAATATTTTGATGCATAATGATTAAGTAAAAATTGCTGATCTTGGTTTCTGTAAATAATTGCAAAACAAAGTTATTTAATAAATTTATTGTAGGATATGGAAGTCAGGTTATGTTTAGGAACTATGGGAACAATGGCACCAGAGGTTGCTAGATTTGATAGTTATGGATTATAATCAGATATCTTTTCTATTGGATGTATATTTTATTAACTTTTGTTTGGTGAATTACCTTTTGAATGTTATGATGTTTAATTCTATTTATAATCCATTCGATAATGTAATTAAATTATTGTAGTGTTTAATAGAGAAAATTGATTTTTAAAAGTATGGAGTTGTAATTTCAAATGAAGTCAAAGAAATTATTAGTAAAATGTTAATAGAGGATCCAAAAGAAAGATTAACTTTTCCATAATTATTTTAATATTCCTTATTTAAAAAAGTTCAAAATATGTCTTAGGTTAGTTAAGTTGCATAGAGAAATTTTAGCAAAATAGAAACTTCTAATTTCTATTAAAATATTTATGATAATAAGAAAGATATTCAAATATAATAGACTGGTATGAATGTCTTGAGATAAAATGAAGACATCTTAAGAACTTAGTAAAATGAACAATATCAAATAGTGAATAATATATAGCAAAATAGTAGAATTAATCAAAATCATTATGATTAAGAGAACGTATAAAAACTAACTTATGAATTATTATCTACCAAATATTTGTCTCCAAATTAATAATCAATTGCTAATACTTTATAATAACTCAAAGATAGTGAGATAGCTTTTAAATCAGATAAACAATAAAATAATATATCTAGCTAAATTAGTGATTCTGTTAGTTTATAGAATACATAAAATATTGTTAAATATCAAATTTTATTAGATGCTTTAGAATATTGTTAAAGGACATATACTGAAATTGATCAAATAACATTTTTAATTTAAAGCTAAGTAAAAATTATATTGTATTAAAGTCTTTGATTGGTAAATTTATGCTCTTAAAAAGAATAAGATCTGAAAGTAAAGTTTATTTCTAAGAATTGTCTAATAATCCACAAATATCTGAATTAAAAGATGTCTTCAAACCTTTTATTGAAAATAATTAATTCGATATTGTGCTTAATTAAATGTATTATTATAATTTAGTATCCAATAGAAAAAGTTCTAAATAAATTCTAAATAATTTAAGCTAAAATTATGATAATGAGATTCAAGAGTAGGCAACAGGAATATTTCACTTAAATTATTATTAAGCATTGATGGATTTGCATACATAAATTAAATTAGAAATTAATAGAGAGTCTGAAATTAAAAAAAAGAAAGTTTTAGTCATTGTTTTGATTCATATTTAAAGATGTATGCATTTTCAAGATTTGTGTTCATAAAAAATAGATCTTGTAGAGGAATTCTTTAATATCAAAAACAAAAATTTAATTGATATAATTAAGAAAGTTTAATTTTGATGTTGAATTGACAAATTTATTCAAATTTTAAAAGTTTTATATTTATATAATTATTCTATTCTATTATATTAGATTATATAATTTACAATATTTAAATTTATAAAATAAATAATTTTGATATATACTATAAAAAATATCATTCCACTAAAAATTTATATGATTCTTGATTACTTTTATTTAAAGTAAATCTTCTAAATTCTATATTTTAGGTAATAATTCATTAAAAAGTTTAAAATATCAATTATGCTTTATTAATCAGAAATAATTTGATAAGAATTATGTTTAATAGTTGAAATAATATAATAAAATTACTAGATTGCTTATTATATATATATATCATTATAAATTCCATAATTATATAGAAAATGAATAATTATTTGGTTTAATTTATAGCATATAATTTTAAGAAATTTAATTCTCAAAAACAAAGTAATAGAAATTGATGAAATCAAGCAACAAATATTTTTTATCAAATGGTCAAGTAATCTAAGGATATTATATTGAATCATTTATTGGAAAAGGTCAATTTGGATAAGTTAATTTCATATAATAATTTAGGTTTTCAAAGCAGTAAAATTAGCCGATCAAGTATAAGTAGCAATTAAGGTTATCTAAAAAAAGAGATTTTCAGAAAATGATGGAATTTTAGGACAATTAGTATTATCAGAAATTAAGGCTCTATAACTAATAAAAAGTAATCATGTTGTTGGATTTGTGGAGACATTTTAAGATGGCGAATATTGTTATATAGTAATGGAATATTGTAATTGTAAATTAAATAAATATTATTATTTTAGCTGGAGACTTAGAACAACAACTAAAGAATCCTAACTTTAAATTGACTGAATAAGATGCTAAAGGAATTATGAAACAAATATTAAAGGGATTGAAAGATTTGCATTCAAAATTTATTATTCATAGAGATCTTAAAGTTCAAAATATAATGGTTCATAATAATTCAATTTACAAAATTGCTGATTTAGGATTTTGTAAACTCTTATAAAATGCAGTATTAGATGATAATTATTATAGGATCAAAAATCAGTATTATAATTGGGAACATTATTTACAATGGCACCAGAAATATTTAATTAAAATCAATATGGATTATCATCAGATATGTTTTCTGTTGGAGTCATATTTTATTAGATTCTATACAGTAGATATCCATTCAAATAAAAGGATTACTTATCAAATAGTCAACGTATGAGAATTATATATTATATATTAGCAAATATTAATTTTGAAAAGAATAAAATTGAAGTTTCAGATCAAACAAAAGATCTCTTGAAGAAAATGCTATCTTTTGATCCTAAAACTAGAATATCTTTTCAAGATTTAACACTTCATCCAGCTTTTGAAAAACCAATTTTTAGTATATATATATATATTAATTTTATTAGGTTAAATCAGCAATATACAATTGTAAGCTAATTTAATTAAAATGGATGACCATTCAAATTTTTATTAGAAATAGTCAAAAATAATAGAAGAAAAATAATAAGAGATTTTAAATCAAAAATAAATAGAAGAAAAATAATAAGATATTTTAAATCAAAAATAAATAGAAGAAAAATAATAAGATATTTTGAATCAAAAATAAATAGAACCAATAAATCAAATGGACTCAACATTATAGAAAAAAATTAAAATTATTGAAATATCAGAAATAAATTCTAATTATTTAGAAAATAAATTAAGTTTAGAAATAGAAAAAATTAATAAAAAGATAAATGAAATGTACTTCTTTTCTAATACATTACAAGAAGTTATTTATGTTCTTTAATAACCACATATTATGGATATATTGTGTATTAAAATAAAACAATTATGTGAAAGTATTCTCAAAATGATTAAGGAGAATATGTAACAATATAAAAATCAAAAATAATATCAACATGATTATGATTTACTTGAAGAATAGAATCGTGAAATGGGTTCATTTTATGAATTAATTTAATATTAATTGTTAGATGTCAAAGATCAATTAAAATAATTTTCAGAAAAAAGTTTAGCTGAATCTATATCCTAACATAACGATTAAGAATATTTATTAAATTATAGATTCTCCTAATTATTAAATAGTTAATTAAATAAAGACTGTAAAATTATAAATTTTGCATTCTCTCATGTAGTTTTATGTTACTTATTTTGCAAAACCAAAAATCCATAATTTATTTAATTTGATGAAACTACTTTCGATTTTAATAGATCCACAGAATAATTTCCAGATTCAGTTAAACTTTTAGTATAATTAGAAACAAACTCTTCAATTAATTTTAATTAATATTATTGACAAATTTATAAAACTTGTAAAATTATAATTTATTCATATATTTATTTTATCAATTTAAACAATTTCATAAACTATATATATATTTTAAAGATCTTAATTTCTAAATAAGAATTATCATTAATTTAAAAAATATAAATATTTTATGCCTATATATATACTAATTTTTATAAAAATCAAACATTATTAATCTACCTTTTTCTTATTTTTTTAAGAGACAGATTAAAGATTTATATAGATTTAATTCTGGATCTCATATCTAGTAGTTTATTACAATTATAAAAGAGGTTTATATCTTATTTAATGATTAATTTATGAGAGTTTTAATTTGATAATGCCTATTCTAATCATTCATAAAAATATAGATAAAAAGAGATAATGAGTTTCATAGATGAGGCTATGGAAGTTGAATAAAATGATGGTAAGGTTCAAGAAGTTCATCAACAGAATAGATTCCTTCATTCTAAGAGAATGATTATAGTTGATGAGAAATGTTAAGCAATTGTTCCTGATAAACCAGAGAAGACTTTCGAAAAATTTATTTAACATGTAAATTTTAATTATTATGTTAAGAGACAAAGTTTGATATTTTAAAGTGAAAAAATTGAAAAACTATAAAACATTGATGATTATCTTCTTTTTGCGCAATCTTTAATTTTAAGTTAGTTGGATGAATAAACAATTGAGGATCCAAAAAAGAAAAGCAAAGGATTTAGTGGTGATGGATTAATTTTAAGTGGTTTATCAATCACTTAAGAATAAGTTAATGAAAGAGCTTTAATGTTTTTAAAGTAAATGGACTATAATATAATAAAAGCAAAATTTTATTTGTTATTTCCAAGTTTATTAGTTTATAATCAATATAAGCATAGACATTCATTATAATTTACTAATGAATACATGAATGAAAAAATTGAATAGTATATTAGTAAATTGAATGAAGATAAAATGATGTAACAAAATAAATGGAAATAGGATCTTATGGATATGATAAATAGCAAATAAAAAGTGCATTTGACTCAACTTTAAACATTACTAGAATAAGGATAATAATTAAAATATGAAGTTCCTGAATCAATAAAATAAATTCATTCAACATCAATACAAATATAAAAATAAATAAATAAATTATTAAAAGAAAAATAAACATTAGAAAAATTAAGTTAAAGTTTAGAAAAATTAGAGGAATAAATTCCAATCATCACTCCAGAAATATAATAATTAAGAGAATAAGTTTAAAAATCTGAAACATTTTATTAAAAATTATTGAAACTTCCTATTCCAATTGATGATAATAATAATTTTGATGAAATCTTTGAAAATCTTATTTCTAATTCTTAGTCTTAAAAAATTCAATTGAAAATTCTTATTAATTATAATATAGAATATAAATAACTTCCTATTGAAATAAAAGCATTTGAATAATTACATAAAAGATTATATGAATATGTGTTAGATTTAGTTGAAAAGATAAGTAAATTTACTAAGATTTAATAAACTAAAACTAGATTAGGATAATATATATCAAATTAAGGAGAAAAAACAGAAAAAATAACATTATCTTAAGCTGGAATATTTAATTAATAGATAATAAAATTAATAGTGACTTGTGATGATTTTGATTATTTTAATGAATTATATTAATAAGCTTTAGAATTAAATGAGAAAGTAAAATAATAAATTGATGATCCTGAAATGTAATAAAAATTATTAGGTGAAGTGTTAGATTGTCCATTTTATTTAGATGTTTAAGAAAGATTATAAAATATGATAGATTATACTTAAATATTGGATTCTATTAAATTAAAAATGTCTGAAAGATAACATCAAATTGCAAATCAATAAATTTAAATGTTATTAGGTAAAGGAATAATAAATGATGAATTGAAATATCTTTAAAATTAAACATTAAAAGTATTAGAATGGAACTAATTAGCTGATGAAATTATATCTTATCATTAAAATATATCATTAATAGATATATATGATGAAAATTTTGAATTAAAATAATATCCATCTACATTATTTTATCCAACATCAGATATTATCAAATAATTGGATCCAGAGAAAGTTAAAGAAATTGAATAAATATTAGAAAGAATTTAAATTTGGAAAGAATAATTAATATCTTTAATGGATTGTAAGTAAGTTTAAACTACTAGAAAAAATAATTAAAATAAAACATTTTATAAATTATGGGAACTTTTTAAAGAAGGATTAAGATACAAATAAGAAATAACACTGATGACTAAAGTTAAAGATATAATAATATCTATTTTAGATTGGCATGCCTAAGTATACATGATTAAATAGATATTAAGATTGAGTGATGATTAAAGTTAATAAATTGATGGTATAGATACTATATGTAGAATATATATATAAAGAAATGGAACATCACATACATCAGATTAAATTGAAAAATTATAAAAGTTTCAATCTCCTTTTATTAGTGGATCTAAAGATTTATAAATTATTTAGACTTTAATATAACATACTGAAAAATGGGAAACAGATGCAAAATAAGCTATTCAAACATAAAATTAAGAATAAATAAAATATTTATTAGATGAATCTTTAAAATTACCAATTGATGAATAATTATTTAAAGAATTATAGAATTTGTATGCATCAAATTAAAAAGTTAATTGGATTTTATCAACTATTGCTACATCTGATCCATTATTTGATTAAATTTTATAAACTTTAAAAAATGATGAGTCAATAAAATAAATGAAGGAAGAAATGTTAGCAATATATGCTGATAATCCATAAAATAAAAAAAAGAAAGAAGGTATTAAATTGTCTAAATTGGCATAAAATTTCTTTTTAAATTTTTAAAATACAATTAATAGTTATTTAGTATAATTGACTTAATTAGATGATAATAAATTAAAGAAATTATAGCCAATAAGAATTTAACGATTAAAAGAATATCAAAAAGATGTTTATAATGATGACATCAATAAATAAATAGAGGATTGGATTTAATAATATCAATAATGGTAGATGTAGATTACAAATTTAAATGAATAGCAATAATAAAAGAAAAAGAAAAAAAGAATAGATTCAGAATCATAACCTGAAACTTTTTCTTTAACTGGTGAATTACTTTATAATTTCAAAGTTCCTCAGTTGCTTTGTCTTGTTCTTTAAGGAATTGAGAAAAATTATATCAGCTAAGAATTAATTAGTTCAATTGAGAAATTAGTTATTATTAATAAATAAGCATAGATAGCTTTAAGTGTTTAGAGTGTTAAAGAGATAACTTATTTTTCTGAAGTTTTTATGCCATAATTTTATGTAATGGGTAAAAAGTTTAGAGTAATTAATAATTGGATGTAAATGGCAACAGAAATGATTAATGATATCCCACGATTAAAAAATATTATAATGATATAGAAATTAAGACCTTTTCTTGAATATCTTGATTAATTGTAACCTTAAGAATTTATGATATCTAAATCTGTATAATAATAATAGCCATCTATAAAATAAAAATAATAATAATAATAATAATCTTAAATCATAACTACTTAATCTAATATTAAAAAGAAAACACAAAAATATATCAATAAACTAAAAAATTAATCTCAAGATGAATCACAACCTACTTATGATTAAGAAAGTTAATCATTAAAACATTCTAAAAGAGTTAAATAAGTTTCAAAACTTATGAGAGATGATAATATAGCATTTTATGATTCAAATATTCCATTAGCAAAAGCTTTTAGATCTTCACCCAATGAAGTTATTAATTCTGATCCTGTTATGTTAGCACTTAAAAAATAAATTATATAGAAAAGAATTTATAAGAAAGGATTGAATAGAAAGATATCTTCTAATTTAGAAATAGAAGGTAATAGTTCTAATTTTTTGGATCATGTCAAAAATTCATCTCAAGAATTACTAAATCTTTATAGTTAGGATGAAATTTATTGTACATGCAGATAAGGTGGAGAATCAGCTATAACAGAATTTTAGATTTTAAAAAGCTTACATGAAAAAAATGTTGAATAATTTTATAATTATCATACTAAATTATAGCAATAAGTTAAATTTATGATATGTTGTGATAATTGTGAAGAATGGTATCATTATGAATGTATGGGTATCTAAAAATAAAGAGAATAATAATTAGATAAATATAATTGCAGAAGTAATATTATTATATTATATTAGTTTGTCTTTAGAAAAATAATATTCCATTTTTAATTCTTAATGAAAATCTATGGGAATAATATATTGATTCAAATAGTGAACTATATGAAGATTATTAAAAACATAAAATATTATTTGAAAAAAATATACTCCCTAACTCAGGAGAATATATTTATAGTCAATTTCTATTGCCAACAATTGAAGAATTTAAATAATTTGTTAGGATTGGTGAATAATTACCTGCATAATTAATTGAATTGGAATTGCTTTAATTATTAGAATAAAGAGTTGATGAATGGAAATTAAGATATTAAGATCATACAAATCTAAATCTTGCTTAATTGATTGCTCTTTATTCTGAAAGTTAATGGTTACCAATATAATTATCAGAATCAAAGCATTTATTGTCTCTTATAAGTTAAAGAGAATTTTTAAATACTGCAAATGAATTATTATAATGCAAGGCTACATTTAAAACAAAATAATTAAAAAAATATTAATAAGAGAAAACAGAATAATTATATTTGTTTATAAAATAAAAATATCCAGAATAACTCTAAGAAATTGATCATTTAATTATTAAGACTATTTAAATGTTAAGAATCTAAGCTGACCTCAATAGTTAAATATAGTAACAATTAAAATCGTAATTAACATTTGAATAATATGAATAATTGGCAAATTAATTTGAAAAAGAAGTTAAACATCATATATTACTAACTGATATCAAATTTTCACTTCCAAAATTAACAGAACTTAGATAATAAATTACTAAACTTCAATAATGGAATGCTGAAATTTTGGCTATTTTCAAAGATATTGATGATATTTATACTACGAATGTATATTTTTATATCAATTTTTAAGTTAAATCAGTAACATTATGATACAAAACCTTATTTATCAGAAATACAAGTAAAATTAAAAGAATATGAAATGATTTCAATTAAAGTTCCTAACTTATGTTATGAATTTCTTAAAGCACTTTAAGCAAAAGCAGAAGAATTAATATATATTATTAATAATAATTTATCTTAATTATCTTAAGATGAATAATTTGAATTAGTTAAAACAGTATACTTATTGAAGTGCAAGATCCCTCAATTTAAAGATTTGTTATTTAGCAAGTATTGTATCATAAATATTATAGACTTAATAAAGATGTATAAATGAAAGTTGTTGAATGGTTACCTCCATAAAATCATGGACTTAATTGATTATTAGTTATTATTTATCATCTAATTTAAGAATTTCAATAAATAATTTAAAATTTTGTTTTCTTGAATCTTCTAAAATATGAATTGATTTGATATGATAAATAAATTTATAGAATAGGATCTTATAATTTAATTTATACAAGGAAATTGTCTATGACATATTAATTTTATTCTTTTAAAATAGATCATATATATTATGTAGTTCTACGAATAGATCATCATATAAATAATATCCTCATTTATTTTAAGATTTTTTTTTAAATTAAATTCAAAATAATTAATTTTTTAAAAATGATTCCAGAAATTAATCTATGCTAAGAACTTAAGAATGATTAAAAAGTCTCTATAATAATTGATAAGAAAGATTTAGACTTGACATTAAAATTCATTGAAAAATTGAATTAAATAAGAGTTTAATCATCTAATTTAGGGGATTTGAAGCGAAGAATAGTACCTTTTTTTATGAATTAATTTTATCATTGGGCTGTTGAGAGAAAACTAAAATAAGTTGTCAATTATCTGAAACACCTCAAAACAAGTAAAGAATCTTAATAGAAGAAATTTGAATTAGGAGATCTTAAAAAGCTTTTCACTAATCAATAGTTAGTAATTCCTGGTTAATAATTAATTAGAAATTAAGTAAGATAAGCTTGGTAATAATTTTTGGAAGGCTATGCAGCAATATCTGTAATGAAAAATCAAAAGATTAAATGCCCTTAAATTAAATAAAACTATATAAACTATATTCCTTTATTAATCGAAGAATTGGATTAGATCTTTCCTTATAATAAATTATTGTCAAAATAAAAATTGCCCTAAAATCATAATCATTTTAGCGTTATTAACCCATATGAGATGATCTAATGTTCAGCTGATGAAAATTAATGATGACTAATGCAATTTATTGAATTCAGTTATTTTTAAATTTAAAATTCTCATTTCCTTTAGAGAATTCATATAGAATGTTTTTTTTAAAATTTTTATTAAAAAATATATAAAATACTTAATCAGATCAAATTATTAAAATAAAAAATTGCTGTAATCCTCAATAATATATATGGAAGAATTGACTTACGGTCATATTAAAGAGCTACTAATATATTGCATTTATTGAAATCAAATAAAAATTTTATAAGCTTTATTTTTTTTTAAATATATCATATTATATATTTATGTTTCTTTCATTATAACTTTATTTATTTTTTTTCTGTATTCAAGACATTTAATATTATATTAATATTAATAATCAGCTATGAACATAGAAAATAGAAGTAAAATAATTAATTTAAAGTAATTTATGAATATTTTAAGGATTTTATTAATTAAATTTTTATTATTATATTTTTTTCATATTTTTCAATTTCTAAAATGTCGAATTAAATAAAATAAACTATATAGAGGTATAAATAACAAATTAATAAATCTAGATCGCCTTTTTCTAATTGCAGAATAATGAAAATTAAAGAAATATAAAATGTCTAATCAGATCCAAATCAATAAATTTAGAATGCATATAAAATGATAGAATTGGGTATGAAATACTTCCAGAATTAATAATATTCAATGGCAAAAGTTGTCTTGATAAACAGTTCTCAAGTTTTATTACCTATTATAAAATTAAAAAGTAATATAATTTATTTATTTAGAGTAAAACTAATAAGATCATGCCTCTGAATATCAAGAACTAACAAAGGCAATAAATACAGCAGAAATTTGTTCTCAGAAAATTGATCAGCTTTTATAAAGCATAGTATGAAATAATATTAAACAAGGCTTCTTAAGATCCATATAGTAAACAAATTATGGAGACAGCTATGATAAGGAAATGTGATGTTTCTTTTGATTCGATTATAGGCTTAGAAAACATAAAAAATTAATTAGAAGAAGTTATAGTTTTACCTAATTTGAGACCTGATATTTTCACAGGAATTCGTGCACCTCCAAAAGGTAAAACACTTATATTAACTCTATTTAGGTATTTTATTTTATGGGCCACCTGGAAATGGAAAAACTTTATTAGCAAAAGCTGTAGCAAATCAAATTAAATGTTGTTTTTTCAATATTAGTGCTTCAACATTAGTATAGAAACATCTTGGAGAAGGAGAAAAATTGATGAAGACTTTATTTAATGTAGCATTTAAAATGTAACCATCAGTATAGCAATTAATTTATTATTTAGGTAATATTTATAGATGAGATTGATTCTATTCTATCTAGTAGATCAAGTGAAGAACATGAAGCTAGTAGAAGGTTAAAAACTGAATTTTTAGTTTCATTTGATGGAATGCAGACATCTGATTAAGATAGAATATTCTTAATAGCAGCTACTAATAGACCTTAAGATATTGATGGTGCAGTTCTTAGAAGATTTGTAATGAATTTAGATTAATAAAGACAGTTAAAATTTTGATTGATCAACCAGATCAAAAAGCTAGATTAGGTCTAGTTAAATCACTTATGTAGAATGTTAGCCATTCTATTTTAGATATAGCTTTTGAAAAGATATGTGAAAAATTGTCTGGTAATATTACTCAAATATATTATATTAGGTTATTCTGCAAGTGATATAAAGGCAGTTGTTAAGGAAGCCTGTATGTAACCATTAAGAGAGGATAAAAATTAAATAGTGGCTATGTCTGCATAAAATATTAGGCCTGTTAGAAAAGAAGATTTTGAGTTTGCAATTAATAAAGTGAGACCATCCCTTACTTAAAAGCAATATTAAGAATATATAAGTTTTAATAAATCTGAATAATGATTATTTATAAATGTAACTTATTACAATAATATTATATATAGATAATCAAAAATATTTGATTTTTTCATAAATAAAATGATTTAAAAAATAAACTTATTTAAATATAGATAAATTGAAGATAATTCAATAGGTTTTATGAAATTATTTTTGTTATATAACAGCATGAATTCATGAAAGTTCAAATTAAAAATGATATTTTTTGAATATTCTTTAAATTTGATTTATACTATTCTACAATGAATTATTTAATTAATGGGAAATCTTTGGGCTTAATGTTTGGCTGATGAACCAGAAGAAACGAATGATATATACATTAAGACAAACTAATAGATAGGTGACTAATCTCAAAATGTTTCAGTTCAAAATATCAAAAAAGATTAAGACATTAACTTGTTTTAGTAAATATAATAAGAAGAGATTAAAGAAGTAAGAGAAACAATTTAGGAATGTTATTTCTGTTAGAATCATTTCAAATAATTGGTGCATTAATAGAATATAGGATTTATAGTATATCCTTAAATTCGATAGTAAATAGCTAGAAGTCATTTTTAAAAAATCAATCAATTATAAGAATCAAATTAATTCTCTGAACCTTTGGCTATTCTTTAAAATGATCCAATTTCTTAGTATACATCAGAATGGTTTTAATTAGCATTATCATTACCAAAATATATAAGAAGTAGTGAACATTTTGAAGGACATCCAGAATAATAATAATTCAATTTCCTCCATTCTACATTAGATGAGAATGATCTTCATTCATTAATATGTTTAAAATGGTGTGTTGTTGATTTTTTTAAACAGTAACATTCTCTATTTCCAAAAAATTATTTCTTAGAGAGTTGTTGTGTAGTATTTTATAATATTGCTCATTTGTGTTAATTCTATAATGAATTGTATTTGGAAAATTATAAAAAAAATGATTATGCTCATAATATAAGACTTTATATTAACTTATATCATTAATATTAGAAATTAATGAATACATTTTAAAATTAATATGATTTACAATGTGATCTATTCTAATTAATGTATGAGAAATAATTCAATATTTAAAAAGATAAGTCTAATTTCTATCCTCATTTTAAATTAATAGGATATATGATTAGATTTTGGTGTTAAATCACATTAACAACAGAAGTACAGAAAATTCTAAACTTAAGTTATAGTAATCTAAATCTTGAAATTGATAGAGATTTAATTAAAAAATATGTAATAGTTGCTTTAGATGTTGATATAGATGAATATAATGTTCATTGGATAGGTCATAGAGAATTTTTTTAAATTGAGAAAACTCTATTAGGATATAATATTATTGAATAACTAGTAGAATAATAATAAATTATTAATTCTAATTTCTATTAATAAATTGATGAAAAATTAGATGAGTTAAGATAACTATATCCTTAATGGTTTTTTGAAGTTGAGTTTGAATGTTTAGGAATTTAACATAAAATTGCAAGATTAGTTTAAGAAGTTAAATCTTAGAATTCTTCTGAAATAGCTAAACTCAAAAAAACTGATGATACAGATAATATAGAGAATTGTGGAATTTATTAATTTGAAATTATTTTAAATTCTGCAAACACATTAAAATAAGAGAATTCTGAAGATAAGGAAGTTGAATTGATGGCATTATATTTGTAGGAGTCTAATTTAATGCCTAGATCTAAATTCAGGTAATCTGGCTCTTTTTAATCAACTGTTACATCTTTTGGTTTTAAATAAAAAGGATTTAATTATTCAACATAAAGTATTTTAAAGGCCAGTTAAGAGGCTTTATAAATTAGTAATAAGATTGGAGTAGAATACAAATAAAAATTAACTGAATTTAATGATAGATTATAAAGAGTTCAAGATAATATCAGTTAAAGAGAACAAATCTTAGAAGAAAGAGCAAATTTATTAAAAATTTCTCTTGATGTTAATTTTGAATGGCTTAACTTTTTTAGGAAAACAGATTTTAGTAAAATCCCTGAAGCTAATAAAATACTTAAGAAATATATCAGAAATATACTGTTAACATTGGTATCCTTTGATTAATGTTATGAATCTCAACTAAATTAATTCTAATGATATATCACTCTATAATTATTTATAAGAATGATTTTATTTATTCTATAAGATTTTGAAGTAGTGAACATTGAGAATGTAAAATTCAGACATTAAAAGACTATTAATTGATAATAAATTTATTGAATATTAATAATATATATAGTTATGTTTGGTTGGTTCAAAAAGA